CAGTCCCGCGTTGCCTCAGGAAGGGAAAGGCAAAAAGGAAGAGCCGCGGCGGTGCTTTGCAACGGCAGCAGCGGCTCCTGGTTTTGCCTTTCCCTTCCCAAGGCAACGCGGGACTGGAGCCGCGCCAGCGGTAGCAACTCCTGACAGCCCCAGCCGGATACCCGAGTGGAGCCCGGGCAGGAGGGCGGTGCGAGCAAAGCCCGGGCGGGCGGGCGGTGCGAGCGGAGCCCGGGCGGTGCGAGCGGAGGCCGCTGAGCGGCAGGAAAAGGGAGCTGGGCAGCGATTTCTTGGCGCGTGGTGGTGGGGTCTCTTTTGGCCGGCCCCGATTTTTTTTTCAGAGGGGAATATCATGCCTGGGAATGCTGTTACCTTCCCACCAAAGGTGGTCCCTATTTATCTACTTGCATTTTTACATGCTTCAAACTGCTAGGTTGGCAGAAGCTGGGGTAAGTACTTCAGCTCACTCTAGGGGTTCGAATTGCTGACCTTTCTGATCAACAAGTGTTCCCTCTTCTTGCAAAACTCATGTTTATTCTACATACATATATCTCCCCTCCAGCTTTTGCTTTCCTATCCCTAAAGACTTGCCAATAACTCTATCATCACTTCTGGGAGGTCTTCCTTATCCTCCTATATTCTGAAATCTTAGAAAGTGGGCTGCCTTCTCCTTTTCTAAGATTACAAAGGTCCCCTCTAAGTTCTTATTTGCTTGTGTCAGCTTTTGATTTTATTTCCTCCATTTTTTTCTTGGTTTCTTCCGATTTGTCCTCTATTTTCTGAATCCTTTGTTCATTTTTTTTATCATTTGCTGAAAATTCCCTAGTCTCATGTCCGTATTCTAAATCTCTTCTTTCATCCTCCCCCAAGTCACCTTTCACCTCATTATGATTCTTCCTTGCTTCCTCTTTCTGTGAAACAATAGCTTCTTGAATAGATTGAAGCACTGATTATATTTCTTTTTGGAAAGTATAGTAAATCTTCTGGTCATGAACGCTTCTGACCACAACCAAATCGGGTTCCGACCAAAAAATTCACAAAATTTTTGAATCTGGTCACAAACACATACTCAGGTGGTGATCAAACACGACCCCTAATCCAGAAACTCCTAAAGACAAAACAGTAGAAGACAAAGAAATCACGAAAGCTGTGGAACGAATTCGACTGTATTTGTTTTTTTCTTCTTGTAACATTGTGTCTATTGATCTTTGGTTTGATGGGCTGGATGCTGCAGATATCAGTGTAGAAGGTGCTTTCTTTCCAATTTTAGTTAGATTTGGAGCGTTCATTTCCCCCCCCCCCCACTTCCTTTTCTTTTATGATCAGTCTACAATATTTTGTAATCAGTACCATATTATAATTATTTCAACCTTATATTAATTCCAATATTAAAATATTAAGTCTATTAGAAATAAATTAGAGTCAGGAATTTTATAATCCATTTTTCCTTTCAGCATCTTGTCCAAGTTTATGTATATTGTTTCACTTCTCTTCTTTTACCTCTCAGAATGTTCTACCAAACAATGTTTGTAATCCAAAATGGCCCACCAAATTCCCCACTCTCAGTAATAGAAAAAGGTCAAAGAAGCAAAAAGCTGTTCAGATTCAAAACAGTTCAAAATAATTCCACAACATCAGCAATGTTTATAATACACAAAAGTTCAAAGATCTTCAAAAGCTCACCAACTGTCCCCAAACCACAAATAGAATGACCTTGCAGCTGTTTTATCTCCAGTCCACTTATCTATTCTGAATATTTTTTTTCTTCTTTCATATTTCCCGAGTTCACTTGTATCTGTTTAATAACTTTTTCCACCAGATATCCCAGCTCTAGCTTCCAGCTTCTACAGTGAAAGCTTAATATATCTAATAGTTCCCTTTTTTCCAGATATTCAAATAAAAAAGTATTTCTAATATTTTAAGTTACTTTTCAGATTATTATAGCTTCCAGTCTGGTTTTTTTTTTCTTTATGATTTACTTCGATATTCTCCTATTAAAATTCTGATTATTTTTTGGATCTGTCATCTGTCTCTTTACATAATAACTCACCGCTTCTTTTTAGAGGTGGGAGTGAAATCCCTTCCTCTTGTCTTTAAAGAGTCTTAAATTTCAAATAGTCTCTTCATTCAGGAATAAATCTCCAAGGTAGACATTGGGAAAATCCTCACTCAGTTCCAGTACGCTGCTCATCATTCACTAGCTAGTGCTTTGTCTTTCGGTTATCACAGCTTGGGTTGGACCATAATAGCAGTCTCTTCTTCAAGTACCCTTGGATCCAGAGGGAGGACCACTGTCACCCCGCGATTGACAAGGTGTCCCTCCTATCTTCGCCACCCCTCCAGGATGACTTTGGCCTCTTGGGGCCTCCAAGCGGAAAAGAATCAGCTGGGTTCCACAGAGCTCCACTTACCCTCAGCTGTCTCGCCACAATACCAACGCAGAAGTCTCTACTCTAGTTTTTTTTAAGAATATGAATTGCTTTTAAAACAAAAATAATCTCTAAATTTTATATAACTTTATTTTGATGTTCATTTTACAGTATGAATTTTCAAAGAAATTACTTGCTACGCAAGAACAGAAAACAAGTGTTCAAGACTTTGCAAAAATGTATGTATTCAGATAGTAATATTCAAATCAGTCTTAATTATCTGAAAGAAAAAAAACAACTTTCTCAGATTAATTTTCCTCTAATTTTAAGATGAAAATTAGATGTAACTTCCAAATATTAACTAACTACTCAGAAACTCTTAAAAAAGACTTTTTGAGAAGTACATTACCAGATTGAGAACCACCAATAAAAGCAGTTTAGCCTCTAATGTTCTTCACTGTAATGGATTGCGGGGACAGCCAGAAAAAAGACTTCTGAAACTACCATAAAATCTGTTAATTTTCACATATGAAAAGCTTTTAGTTAGAAAATAGGATGTAGATATTTTGGATATTCTTGTAATTTATTGAAGTCATTGTATCTAATACTTCTTAAAAATGGGTTATAAATTATATTAATATGTTCCAGTTGATCATTTTCAATGTTATCTATATAGCAGTTATTTGCCTATGTGATCTGGAATTGGTGGACCTGTCCTTGGTCCCCTTGTCATGATTGGATCACAGTCTGGTGGCAATGAGTTTCTCAAGAGCTGTATCCCCTCCCTCCCACAGGGAGGCAAGACCTATTAGATTGGTTCTCCCCCTTCGACTAATGGATCGGATGGGTTCCAGAAGGAGCTGGGGGTTATAACTGCAGATCTACTGTGCAGTCTAGCCGAGCTCTTAGTTACTGTTTGGAATAGGAAGATGACTGAGGCTCTGGATAGGATTGCGCCCATGCGACCTCTCCTCGCCTGTAGACCCCTCTGTGCCCTGTGGTATACAGAGGAACTGAGAGGAAACGCCTAGAGTGCCACTGGCAGCAAACAAAGGATGAACTCGATTGAACATAGGTAAGAGCCTATCTTGTGGCTATTCATGCGGCGAGATGTAAATAATTCTCCACACTAATTGCGTGTGCAGATAATCGCCCAGTAACCCTCTTTAAGGTGAGCCGCCTCCTTCTGGGGAAGGAGGAAATTGAGGTTCACCTGAAGGGACATGCTGAGGAATGTGCAGATTTTCTGGAAGACAAAACCACTTGACTCTGTTCCCAGTTAGATGCCAGCATGGCTGCTGATCCTTCTGAGGCAGGTTCTTGCCCTGTTATCTGGGAACAGTTTGACCCTGTTGCCCCGAGGAAGTGGACAGGATCCTAGGGAGTATGCACGCAAGCACCTGTGTTTTAGACCCATGTCCCTCCTGGCTTGTGAAAGCTTCCCAGGAGGTGACAGGTGGGTGGAATCTGGCAGTGATTAATGCTTCCCTACAGGAGAGGGTAGTGCCCCAGCACTTTAAGGAGGCTGTGGTCCACCCTCTTCTTAAGAAGCCATCGCTGGACTCCACCCAGTTGGATAATTTCCGACCTGTCTCTAATCTCCCCTTTTTGGGGAAGGTTGTTAAGAAGATGGTTGCATGGCAGCTCCAGAGGTTTCTGGATGAAATGGATTATCTCGACCCCTACCATTCAAAATTCAGGCCTGAGTTTGGGACAGAAATGGCATTGTTCGCACTTTTGGATGATCTCTGGCAGGAGCGGGATGGGGGTAGTGTATCCATCCTTGCTCTACTTGACCTCTTGGTGGCTTTCAATACCATTGACCATGGTTTTCTCTTGGAGCGGCATCGGGATGGGAGTGGGAGGCCTTGTGGTTCACTTCCTTCCTCAGCGGCCGCTCACAGTGTTGATATGAGGGGAGAGATCCAGTCCTCACCCACTGCTTTGCTGGGTGCCGCAGAATTCGATACTTTCTCCACTCCTGTTCAACATTTATATGAAGCCTTTGGGTGAGATCATCCGTCATCATGGACTGAGGTATCACCAATATGCTGATGATACTCAGCTATATGTCTCGGCCCGTGGTGAGTTAAGTGATGCTGTGTCCTTCCTCTTGCAGTGTGTAGTGGCTGTTAAGGGCTGGATGGGGAGCAACAGGTTGAAACTAAACCCTGGCAAGACTTAGCGGCTCTGCGATTTGTTGGCTCAGGGAGAATTGCCATCTTTGGTCCTGGCTGGGGTGGCACTACCCCAAACAGACCCTGTGCATAATCTGGGGGTTCTCCTGGACTCACATCTCCTGCTCAAAGAGCAGGTGATGGTTGTGGCCAGGAGGGCCTTCGCACAACTGTGGTTTGTGCTCCAGTTATGCCCTTTCCTGGACCAACAATCCCTACTCATAGTCACTCATACCTTGGTCACTTCCCGTCTTGACTATTGCAATGCACTCTGCATGGGGCTGCCCTTAAAGAGCATCCAGAGGCTTCAATTGGTGCAAAATGCCCTGTTTTGTGCAGACCCTGGTGTGCATATGTATCACCTCTCCTGCGGGAGCTGCATTGGCTGCCGATTTGCTTCCAAGTGCAATTCAAGGTGCTAATTGTCACCTTTAAACCTCTTGTTGGCTTGGGACCAGGTTATCTGAGAGACCGTCTCTTGCCGGTTACATCTATCCGACCCATCAGAACAGGAAGGCAGGGAATGTTGCGGGTCCCATCCCCAAGGGAGATATACCTGGTGGGACCCAGAAGAAGGGCCTTCTCTGGTGGCTCCCTCTCTCTGGAACATAATTCCCCCAGAGATTAGAATGGCCCCCACTCTAATTCTCTTCTGGAAGGCACTGAAGACCTGGTTCTGCCAGCGGGTTTGGGGAACCCAGAACAGGATGGAACCCATTAAATGGCTTGTGTGATCTGCTGTCGCTGGGGTGGGAGGTTGGGGGTGATTTTATTATATTATTTGATTCTTTTTAATAGTTATACTGTTTTAAATGTGGTTTTACACCTTGTAAGCCACCTTGAGCCGTCATGGGCAATATAAATCCATTAGATAAATAAAATTGAAACATTTGAAACTAAATTAATTTTGAAGGCAACCTCCACGTACAAAGCATTGCAATTATTAAATATGAAAAAAACAGACAGTGGATAACAGTACAGCTATAACTTTACTTTGATTGCACTTAGCACATCAGTTTCACCTGCTTAATGTTCATATCACAGATGTTGTTGGTGGAATTAAGATGCATAACTAGCCAGTAAAACCACCTTGGAAACAACAATAAAGAAGGCTGTAAGATTGATTGATTGATGCAATTTATAGGTTGCCAGACTCCCTTTTGCTCTGGGTAGCTGACATTGAAAAGGTGTCTAAAATATAAAGTATTTTTGGTAAATGGTAAAGTCCAATTGCTACTTTACCATGAATCAAGGAATGTATGTCCTTTAAGAGGAGCATTTTGCTTTTTTGAAAGGAAGGGGATACAGATTTACAGATGATAGTAGAGAAAATTTAATAATGCAGTATTTTATGTTCTACATTAATAGTCATGTGAATATCTATTTTCCCATCTGGAATATAGTGAGAATATCATAACAAATGAACCTCTGAGCTTTGATCATCAATTGGAACTGTCATTTCCTACTGTGAAGGCTATTGTTCCTCAACAGCAAGACCCAGCACTAAAATCAAGGATGAATGGTATAAATTGATAATATTTAAGTATTATATTATTTCTCTGTTGAATTACTTTTCCAATTATACATAAAGATACTTTTCCAGTTCAACATGTTATTTGAACATTTTTGAATTGTTCTATAAAGGAACTAATAAGATGATGTAATTATTTGATATGGATTATGTATTAGAATTTTGTAGGACTATTTGGAGAGCACAGAAAAGTAGCTTTATCCATTATAATATAGACTTGGGGTGTACTATAATGCCTCTCAAAATGTCTGTATAATTGAAGTGAATACAAATAATTGCATACTGTATTCTAGTGAATGGTGTCAGCTCAAAACAAAATGGTGTCAGCTTTGAAACTTCTCATCCCTTCCTCCCTTGCTTCTTCTTCTCCCTGCCCTTTTTACCCCCTTGTCTCTCCACCTCCATTTCCCTCTTCTGTATTCCCCCTTTCTGTTGTTTTCTAACATTATATCCACTTTTCACCTTATTTTTCCCTTTTTTGATTGTTTTTTAAAATCTTAAAGTCTCCATTTTCTTTTCCTCCTTTTCCCTTTCTTCCCCAAGTAAAGTTACTTGTTCATCAAAGATGGCTTCTTCTTTGTCCCAATCCTCTTGTTGCGTAGTCAGTTTCTCATAGGTGCAAATCGCCATTTCTAAGAATTGAAAAAGAGAGCCAAAGGAGCCCTTCCCTTCTTGTTCCTCTTCTTTGTATTTTTTAAATTCAATTTTCAATTCATCCACAAGTGATGCCATTGTAAAAAGAAATTTTTTTCCAAACAACCACCCAAGTGTTTTTAGTCCTTCAAGGATAATTTCCAAAAGTCCCAAAGTCAGCAAACAATCCAAATAAACTGTTTCTTTTAAACACTTTCTTCTTTCTTCACTTTCTCTTCCTGGGGTTACTGTTTCAATGGTGTGGAGCAAGATGTAAAGAAACAGGATTTATTTAGAGATAATGGGTAAAAACTTAATTGGAAAAGGGATTCTGCAAAGGTACATAAGATTGTATTGTTATATTTGTAATTAGAAATAATGCTAGAAAATTGGAAACAACATGTGATTGAAAAGTAGGATAAAATATTCAGTGTAATTTAGTGAAATTTTTGTGAATAAAAGGAAGGCAGTGAAATAAATGAGAGAATTGAAGTAGGAAGGAATGGGAACATTTTAATGATATAATGTTTTAAAATACAAGTGATGTGAAGTGGGGGGGAAATAATTATGGAAAGTTTATAAGTGTTCCCATAAAAGTATGATATTCAATTGAAAAGTAATGTGTAAAATGTTTAAGACTCAAATGAATATTAATATTAATGATGGATTTGAATTGGTATGGATTGTTGTTTTAATTATATTACATATTTATAATTTTTTCTTTCTTTAAAATATAGTGTGTAACTTTAGAATGTACTAAGCAGAATCCAAATGGAAGTTATGTATTATACTAAGTGTTATAAATCTAGGGGAAATAGATAAAGGCGTCATACTCTAATTAGTGTACAGGAGAAATTTTGTTTAAAGAGAAAAGATAATAGCTGGAAACAGGACAGACAAAGAATAATAAGCATAATGATCTGAACTGAGATGAGATGAATAAAATAAAACTAAGAAAGTTAAAAGAGGGGAGAAGCTATATAGAAAATGTAAAATGGTAATAAGATATGGAATGGTATATAAAATGAATTTGAATTTGTGTCTGTACGAAGAGATGTAACCCGGGATCAAGCTGCTTTCAGAAAAGATGTTTTATGTTTTTATGTTTTATGTTTTGTTTGTTTGTGTATTGTCTTTGAAAATCAATAAAATTGTTTAAAAAAATGGTGTCAGCTTAAAAGAAACAACTTATTTAACATAAAATAGTAACATTGGAATGATAATGTACATGTTTTTACTGTTGATTTTGTACTTGGTTTTCTATCATAATGCTTGAAAAGAGTTAGCGTCATAGATATAGAAAAGAGAATTTAAGAGAAATATATTTAAAACAATTAGTCCCTCTAATAATTTAAACAATACATTAACAGATGAACAGTGGTAGATATAAATATATATATATAGTAAATATATTTAAAGTAGTTTAAGTATTGTTTAATATATTTTTACATAAGCAGTCTTCTTATCTTCAACTTTAGATTTCAGATTCCCAAGGAAATATCCTCCTTTGCCCTTACCAACTACTAATAGTTATAAAACTTGGAAAAGAGAAAAACATCCAGAGGTAAGTTTCGGTACTACAAGTTTTTATAACCTTAAATTAAGTCATATTTATTTGTTTAAATATATTCAGTTTGTCAATATCTCTTAAGAACAAACATAAATAATTTATATTTATGCAATAGTGTATTAACTTCTGAAAAGTTTGCCTAGAAAGATCTCACAATGATTGCCACTCCAAATGTTAATCGCCAAGAAGTTTTTTTTCTCTCATAAAGATAGGGAAAGACAGGAGAGTAGGGTCACAAAGGGTTCTAAGTGATATAACATCTTTCTGATTTAACACCGTGGTGGAAAAAATAGCATATAATAAATTATTGTGCTTCCGCAAAAATATGACCTATTCAGAAAATTAACCCTGGCATGATTTCCCATGCTGCTCGCAATATAAGCCCTACCCCAAAAATAAGCCCTACTTAAGAGCATCATCAATGAGAGACATAGCCAGCATAGGAGGCAGCGAGAACATGCATGGGGGCCAACAGTGTCTGGAAGTAATTTTAGCCTGGCAGTCCCTTGGCCGGCGCACTCTGGGACTGCAGCCCACACAGCACAGGAAAGTTCCTCCAAGAAGCAACCAGTGGCAGAGGTATGGGGGAGGCATGCAACTCGTCCACTGTCTTCGTTTGCTCAGTGTGCAGCAGAGCTGGAGGACAAGGTTGGATGGCAGGGACTGAGAGGGCAGGGACTGTGACATGGCGCCACCCTCGCCCCACCACTTGCCTCGCCTCATGGTGGCACCAGCAACAGGCAGAGGCAGAGGCACAGGGGTGGAGGAGGCATATGCACTGCACAGCCTGCCGGATGCACCGTGCAGCCACCTATCTTTGCTTGCCTGTGGCTATGATGGGACAGGCATCCCCGTGTCACATCTGGTAGGCTGAATTGCATGCAGGGGTGAGATTCTACCAGTTCACACCTATTCGCTAGAACCGGTTGTTAACATTCTAAGCAGTTCGGAGAACCGGTTGTTAGAAGAAATTACTGGCCTAACCCAGTAAGGAAGGCAGGAAGGAAACATTCTGCTGTTGCTTACAGAAACTGCCTCTCCGTTAACCCTTATTACATTCTGGCCAAGACTAGACTTCCTGTCTCAGGAACGTCTCTGCAGTTTTTTCCCCCTCCTTTGCTAGTACTTGGCTTGTGTGGAGTGACTATTCAAAGTAACAATGGCACTGAAAAAAGTGACTTATGACCATTTTTCACACTTACGACTGTTGCAGCATCTCCATAGTCATGAGAGGCCAGGCGAGGAGATGCATGCTTCAATGTGAATGATATTGAGTTGGCCACACCCAGCCAGTAACATGACCACCAAGCTATGTCAACCCAGTCACATGACCACCAAGCCACGCCTACCACCTAAGCCACACCCACAGAACCGGTTGTTAAAAATTTGAATCCTACCCCTGATTGCATGGCTCTCCCACCAGGCAAGTGGTGGAGTGGGGGAGATGTCACACACAGCCCTTGCCCTCTCAGCCCACGCCATCTAACCTCATCCTCCAGCTCTGTTGCATACTCCCCAAGTGTGCTCTTGGGTAACCTGGGGGCAGAGACCTTGGAGAATAGACTGGGAATTGCTGGATTGTGGGGATGGTGGGGGTTGGTAGTTGAATAAAAGTTGTCAGTGTCCACTTAGCACATGTTGCTTGCGCACCAACCATGGGTTATAACACTATGTCTCTTCCTTCAACTCTCCTGCTCTTAACTATTGCTAAGTCTTGTTATTATCTATTTTGCTATTTTTTTTTTAATATACAGGCCATGTACTGCTTTGTCTTCCCATGCCTCTTTATTTTGTTTGGTTTTTCTTGTAAGCCAGTACTTAGTAGATCTTCCTGTGTTATAGCTTCAGTGCATCTTCTCCATCCTTCAGATATTCTTCCAATGCCCTTTTTTCTTCTTCAGCTATCTGATATACTTGCAATATTCCAGGCCCACCTATTTGTCTTGGTAAATAGAGTCTGTCAACATTTTTGTGTGGATGAAGGGCATGATTCATTTTCATTATTTTAGTCTTCTGTCTAGGGTTTTTGGTTCTGCTTGAATCCAATCCACTGTTCCAGCTGTGTAGCTAATGACTGGATTTGTCCAGGGATTAATTTGCTTGATGGTATTCCCTCCACTGAGTTTGGACTTCTTCACTCTCTTGATATATTTATTTCTAACCTTTTTCTTGACTTCAGTGTGCTTTATGTTGAAGGATGCCCAGATATTTGTAGTGACGGTCTTCATCCAGTTCTCAATATTATTTCCATAGAGCGAAGGTCGGCAACCTGCAACTCTGGAGCCGCATGTGGCTCTTTGGGCCCTCTGCTATAGCTCCCTGTCGCGGCAGTGGCACGGCCAGAGCCTTAATGTGGGAACCAAGCACCCCTGCACTTGCCTTTGCGCGGCAACAGCATTCCGCCTTTGTCGCAGTACATTTGCTGTTGCCGCCAGCAAAGAGGCTGGGAAAGAATGGCAGGGGCAGATCTTGCAGGGTGGGGGCCATCCCCCAAGCCTGGCCTTCCTCCTCCCTTGTTGTCGGAGCCAAGAGAAAGAAGGAGGCGGCATGAGGAAGCGTTCCCCTCCCCTGCCTAACACCGAGCACAACAGCCCAGTAGGAGGGGGAGATGGCCTGGCAGAAGCGCCCCCATTGGCAAGTTGGATGTCAGAGAGGCGTGGCCCGGCTCTTGCAGCGGGACGCTGTTTGGCACCTCCAGATGCAGCGAGAGCTATGTTTTTGCTCACTTTCTGTTGCCTGTGCCTTTTCCGGGCAGCAATGGCTGGGGCCATGAGGGGGAGGCAGCAGAGGCATCTGGGCTGCTTCCCTCCCCCCCAGCAAACCGGGCCTGGAGAAGCACCAAGGGTTGTGGATGAGCACTGGAGGATCAGAAGATGCACTCTGATGTTGCCCCAACACGTGTTTCCAGCATGCATTCCTCTATCCCAAAGTATGATTGAGTGGGGGGGGGGGGAAGAGAGCAGGGGGAAGGATAGGAGGAAAAGAGAAGCCCTGCTGGCTTTCCTTTGATTGGGGTGGGGGGGAGACCCAGTACCCCTCCATGGCCTGCCTGCTGCTCTCGCAGCACCTCTTTCTTTCGTTCTCTCCCTCTCTCGCATTGTGTTGTAATGGGTTCCAGGAAGAGAAGGGGATCCAGTCCCCAATTTGACATATGCTTCACAATGGGGGAGACTGGATCCTCTCCTGGAGCCCATTACAACACAATGCAATCCTGCCCCACTCGCCCCTGGCAACTCTTTCTTTTTCTCTCACTATCTCTCTCTATCTGTCTCTAGGGGTGGAGAGAAAGTCATACGTCCAGCACTAACAAAGTCGGAAGTAGCCGCCCGCCGTTTCCCTCCAGTCAGGCACTGAGAGGGAGACAGAGAGAGGGAGACACATTCAGCTCGATTCAACTCTGTCTGCTCTCCTCTCTCTGCCTTGCCCAGTTTTGCAAGGATTCAGCCGACACTGCCTTGGTAATTGGGGATGGGGGAATTTCATCCCATTCTTTGCCTGCCAAGCATCTTTGGGGGTGCCCAGGAACTATATTTTCCAGCCACTTGGGACTGAGTTGCTGGATGAATATGCATGCCTGTATGAGTGTGCTGCTGCTTGGGATGATGCTTCTCTGAAGTGCGTGTGGTGATCTGAAGTAAGGCAGTAACCTTGTGGCGCTGTGATGTAACATCCTGACAGTCACTCCTTTTGCAATGCAATGTTTATTTTGTATTTTTCCAGAGACAGAGAACATAGTAGAATTTCCTTACAGTTATTCCTGGGTGTATGGGTTGGGAAATGGAGGTGGGGAGTGGGAGGGAGGAAGTGAGGGAAAGAGAGAGACAGAGAGAAGAGAGAGAGATGAGGGAGAGAGGGGGATGAGAGGGAGATAGAAAAAGAGAAAGAGATGAGAGAACGAGAAAGGAGAGACAGAAAAAGGGAAAGAGATGAGGGAGAGTGTCAGATCCGTGTATCTGTCATTTCTTCAGTGGAAAAAGAAAAGGGGGGGGAGACTAATAAAGAAATCCTTTCTTGATGTAACCTGAATATATTTAATCTTATATCAAATTTGTATAACCCACACATGATACAATGGAGGGAGAAAACCCAGATGGCCAGAACCTATCACCTCTGAGAGGCACAGCCAGGAGATGAGAAGATCATAAAAATTCCACAGTGAGATGTATCCTGGGAATCTCTGGAAAAGTTCGTTTTAAAAAGGGGATGGGGGGAAATTAGGTATGCCCTGGGAAACTGTGAAAAAGATCATTTCTACAGAAGGGGGGGGGGGAATTAACATACTGGCTTTTGTTTCACTAAATACACATCAAGATAAGGGGAGGGGTTCTAAACTCCCTTATGTATCCCTGTATGCCTGAGGGACCTCAGGCGCTGCTTTGAACTCCTACATGAATTGTCTCATCTCAATAAAGGATTCCTTTTGATACGTTTGGTTTTCAGAAGTTCATTCTTGTAAATTGAATAGGAAAAAGTTCTGAGGCCTGACACAGAGAAAGAAAAGGGAGAGGGAGATAAAGAGGGAGATATAGAGAAAAAGAAATACAGATGAGAGAAAGAGAAAGATAAGACAGAGAGGGAAGGAGGGAGAAAGAGATGAGAGGGAGGGGGGGAGATACTTATTTCCCATAGAAAAGAAAAACTGGAGCCACAAAACCTGGGTAGGCATGTGACTGTATGGGAGTGAATGATATCGAGTTGGCTATCCCACCCAGGTTTTGTGGCTCCCAGTGTTTTGTTTTCTGTGGGAAATGGGCTCAAGTGGCTCTTTGAATGTTAAAGGTTGCAAACCCCTGAGACCCCTGCCATAGAGCATCTTTCAATATTTTCTCTGTTTACTGGTAAACATGACACATTTGTCCAGTCTAAACAGTGTTGAGCAGTCCTATTTCAGACGATGTTTTTCCATACAACTTTGTTCATATAAAGGAGGTGAATAGTCTGGCAGATGTTTTTAATGTTTGATAACCATGACCCAATTATTCAGTATTGCTGACAGAGGAATCAGTGCAATAACAAAGTGGTCATCATCACTTGTTCTTAGCTTCTATCAATCTACTAGCATTGACCAATAACCATGTCTTTCATTGTGCCATTAATCTTTGCCCAAAATTTCTGATATTTATATTGATCCCCTTATTTCTTCTTATTTCTTATTTATATTGATTATCCAATCATGTGGCAGGGAATCGAATGTCTTCTTGTAATCAATCCATGCTACATTCAAGTACATTCATACTTGCAGTTTTCCAGAATCTTGTCAATTAGGAGTTGATCTTTTGTTCCTCTGTTGTCTGAGTGGTTTCCTTTCTGCTTGGATGGAAAGAGCTTATTTTCAAATAGATGCTGTTGGATTGCATTTGAAAATCATTGGCAAGCTGATAATTGACTTGTAGTTACCTGGTGCTGCTCCTTTCCTAGATAGTTCATTATTAGGTAGCTTTTGCCAGACGTTGGCCACTCTTCAATTTCACCTTCTTGCAATATGTTGTTAAACTGCTTGACAACAAGTGGGTATAACTCATCTTTCTCAGAGCTCACAAGCCACACAACCACATCAAGGTATAGCTTCACTAGGAGTTGCGCTCAATGTTTATTAGTATACCATCAACATTGTTATCATTTTCCTATTTGTCTTCTCGTCAATCATGAGAAAGTATGACCAATTTCATATTATCCAGATATTTCACACTGTGCATTAGATATTTTTGTCTACTGTATCTGACTGTCAAGGCATATGAGAAAAACTGCTGTGTGTGTTATGTTTATAAACATTATTTCTTTAATTGAGATTTATAAGGCAGCTACGTAATACTTGGAGTGATTGTGCATAATTGCAAGCTGAATATGGGTAGTCCTCAACATACAACCATAATAGAGTCTACCCATTACAGACATATGTTGTGATGGTCATAAATTGGGTGAATTATGACTGACTGGATTTTATTCTCTTTTTTGTGGTGATCATTAAACATGGCAGCCATTAAATAAGCCCATTGTTCATTATGATGTGGTTTTTCTAAAAACCTTTTCATTTTGTCAAAAACATCATAAAATGCAGTCACATTATTGCAAGACACTGCAAACAGCTGTAAATCCAGCTGTGTTGCCGAGTATCTGAAATTCAGTCACATGACTGGCAGTGACTGTTGGAACTTGCTTGTTCCAATAAGTCATAATTTTGAATGGTTGCTAAACAACTAGTCATAAGTCAAGATACATGTATCTTTGTTTTCTTAAAAATTATTTGAAAAAAGCTGCTTTTAGCCCATAGGTTTTGTGCCACCAGTTCACAGTAACACATAAGAATACTCACCTCCATTTTTAGGAAGAAAAAAGTTAATATAATTGCTTCTGCTGCATTGGTTATCCTACTCATTTAGCTTGATGATATTCATTATCAGAATTTAGAGGGGAAAGATCTTAAAATTTTGAGTTGTAATAAAAATAAGTTTATATACTGTCTTGATATCGTCTTCAAATGAATTGTATTATTGATAAATTCCTGAATTGAGAGGTAGATTTCATTTCTTTTTTTTCCCAACTCATTTTACTATGTTGCTTCCATTATAGAAAAGAAAAATAATATAATAAGTTTAACATTCTTATTGTTACTTACAACAGGGATGTCAAACTGGATTTCTTTGAGGGTTGGATCAGCATTGTAGTTCTCCTCCGCAGGCCGGCGGGGGGTTGGGATGGATGCCTCCTGCAGCACTCTGCTGGCCGTTTTCAGGTCATTTTTAGCCCATTTTGTGGCTCATTTTTAGCCGATTTTTCAGCCAGTTTTTCAGACACTCCAGACCTACAAGCTTTGGTTTCAAAAAGTATATGCCAGAGAAATCTTACTCTTTCACCTTCTTCCACTTTGGTTTTAAATGAATCTGAAAACAAAAATGCTTTATCTTTCTTTAAATAATTTTGCAGACTAATTTAGGATTGACTTTACCTCGTGGATACTGCAGATACCATTTCAATTCATTGCATGGCTGTAATAAACCAAATTGCTGGCTGTCGCATGTTCTTATATCAAGAGATGATAAGGTAAAACATGTTCCATGTCAGTATAAAATGTTTGGCTAACTTTCAACCATAAAAGTAATCATCAAAATCACCATAAACGTTTGCCTTTTAAGAAGTCATTGATATGATTATTGAATCTTTAAGTTCATTAGATATTTGTTGATTTGGAAAAGTGTATGATAAAAATGAATAGATTTCAGTAAAATGTTATAAAGTTCAGTATTTGCTGCATGCAGTAAATGTGGCCTACAGTAAAAGTAAAACAAATTAGAATAAAAAGAATCAAATATAGTTCAGCTTTGATTTAACATATTTCTGATTAGCTGTAATTATTATTGATGATTGATTGATAGATTGATTAGCCCTTGGGCCATATCAAAAGTACAGTCCTAGAAACAAATTATTACTAAAATTTGATAAAAGCAATTTGAAATGGAATTGTCTAAAATGAAATTGGAATAAAATATAATAATTTAAGATATAAAATATGATAAAATTATATTTTGGTGTTACCCCAACAATCTACCCTAATCAGCCCCATGTATGCAGATCTCAACCGAACCGTTTCACTTATATACTCTGCTGTGTTAAATGTTATTTTCAGATTCTGTTCACATATAAGGTAAGTTGTTTTGATATGGGGAATCCCAATAGCTCAGGGGTGTCACACTGGATTTCTTCGAGGGCTGGGTCAGCACTGTAGTTCTCCCTGGGGGGGGAGGGGTCGGAATGGATGCCTTCTTCAGCACCCTGCTGGCCAAAACGGGGTGTGTGGGGTCCACATGTGGGCCCCCCTGAGTCTTGTTTTCACCCTCCATGCAGCACTCTGCCACCTGTTTTCAGGCCATTATTTTGCCCCATTTCCCAGCTCATTTTTGGCTCATTCTCAGGCGGTTTTTGGGCTCATTTTCAGCCCGTTTTCAGCCATTTTTGACTGGTTTTCGGCCTGTTTTCAGTCCGTGTTTGGCCCCATTTTGGACTCTTTTTTAGGTCATTATTCAGCCTGTTTTCAGCAAGCAAAGTGCTGCAGGAGGCCATGGAGAGTGAAAACGAGGTGCGGGGGGGGGGCGCGCACACAGCCCATTTTAGCCTCCAGAGGCACTGCAGGCCAGTCCTTTAATAACTCCAGGCCGGCCCCGTGGGCCAGATCCGGCCTGCACCCTTGATTTTGACACCCCTGGTGTAGATCATCTGCAGTAGTTAGAGATGAATTGGGAATTCATACAATTCATGCACTATCCAACATTAGAGCATATAACCACTGGTACAAAGTCAATGAAATAGAGACTGATAGACTCCCCAAGTTATTTCTTCTAGAGCAAATAAAATCACAATCACAAATCTCTTGAATCATCAAACTAACAAATTTTGTAAGAAGTTATGGCCTTCCTGTCTCTTGCATAGTAGAAGAATGATTTTAAAAAACAGCTGCCCAAAGAATTAAGGATATAGAAACACAAAATGATATAACTCCTTAGTAAGGTGGGTAATTTGAAATGGCTGAGCAAATACATAGCTATTTGAAGTTACAACTGCTAAAACATTTTAGGGAGATATTTACACGAGCAAAATTTGAACAGCTTGACACAGTGGTCAGATATGGGAGATTCCATTCTATACCCCAGAATGGACATCTCTGCATTTGCAGAGCAGCAGAGGTGGAAGATCTGGCTCACATCCTATTTGATTGTTGCCTGTATAAGAGGGTGAGAGACAGGTGTCTTGGTCTATATACTTGGTCTATATATATCCTTTGGGACACCTACTACAGAATATTACTGAGTTATGATTTTTGGCAGCCAGCTCGAGTTCTGACCAGATTGAAATGGCAAAATGTTTTTTTCTTTAATTTTATAATTTTTATATTGTCTTCTTGTGTGCAACATCTCAGCTTGTATATGAAAAACAGGATTCCTCTGGGCAAGCTTCATGGCTGCCTATATCTGCTTGCTGGGAGACCCTCTGGGGTCAAATCCACCCTGGAGGGGTGGTGAAGAAAGGAGAAGTCCTTCATTAATCTCAAGGAAATCACAATTTCCTCATTAGATCCGAAGAAAGCTCTCCTAAACGGCAGTAGGGATGATGGCCATTTTGGCAAGTGACAAGCTGTGACAACTGGGACAATAAAATTTGTGCTGGAGCGGTTCGTGGACAGAGCATTGAAACTGGGTGAGAAACTTCCAACTTTTATTCTAAATATTTAACCCAAGTAAAAGAATTCCAAAAAATAATCTCCAAGAGTTAAGAAAGCAGCAATTGGATACATGGAGAAAAATCAAAGATCCAGATGCGAAAGAAATGTCTTAACGGAAGCTTTAAAACATAGAAAGCCTGGAAAAGATTTAACAACAACTCAAAAAGTGATTATTGGGAGAAACTCTTTTTCTCATTTTTACTTTTAACCCTCTGATCTGTTGACAATTAGCTGTTTGATTTTTGCACCTGTTTAATGTTGGAATTTGGAGCAGGAGAGCCATCTACTGGAGGAAGAAGATCACTGCAGCATGGGAAATTCAAGTGAAAGTGATCATTGTTTAATATAAATAAAGGAAAGGAGGGAAAGTAAACGACACCTGGAGGGCCACTTGACCTTGATTCTATTTCAGTAGGCAATCTGGATGTTTGGAAATATTTAGTGAGCTTTTTGAAGATTTTTAAGACAAACTGAATTGCAAATAACAAAAACACTATTGAAACTGTTCACTGGATGGTAGATTTGAAAGACTTGAGGAAATTTGGTGGGCTAATTTGGATTTGGATTACTAACACTACTTGACAGAACATCCTATGAGATAAAAGAAGAAAAGTGGTAGAAGAAAAGAAGAAAATTTGGACAACTGGGAAGGTATAAACTGGAATATTATAAAGACTGTAAATTATGAAATAGCTTTTAAGGATGATAAATTTAGAGGATTTGGAGGTATAATTCTAGGACTGACTAAGTTTTATTAATAATTGGCTTTTTTGGAATTTTTATATATTGGGACATTAGAACCTTAGTGGCATATTGAGTAATTCTTAATATATAGAGGTGTATGAAGAAATGTTAGGTAAAAGTAAAAGTTCCCCTGCACATGTGTGGTAGTCATTTCCGGCTCTAGGGTAGTGCTCATATCCATTTCTAAGCTGAAAAGCCAGGGCTGTCCAAAGACGTCTCCATGGTCATGTAGCCGGCATGACTAAATGCCGAAGGTGCACAGAGCACTGTTACCTTCCCACCAAAGTGGTCCCTATTTTTCTACTTGCATTTTTTATGTGCTTTCAAACTGCTAGGTTGGCAGAAGCTGGGACAAATAACAGGAGCTCACCCTGTTATAATCATAAGGAGATAATGGGATTGTTCAAAGATAAAGATGTGAGTGTAGAAGATCCTCAACAAATGGGGGAAAAAGATGAACATAATATTCAGAAAACAGATGAGAAATCAGAAGGAATGGTGGAGGAGACACATCAAAATAAGTTGCAAGAAGATAAAGACATTGAAGAGATAAGAACAATAAGTATGAATCAAATAGATAATCCTTTTTTTTTATAAAACAAGTTTTATTGGTTTTAAAGACAAACAAAACACAAGACATCAAAGTATAAAACCTCCTTTCTCGAAAATTACTTACAAATTTTAACAAGGCAAATAAAGCATTATTTTTAAGGCATAGTTCCACATTATCACATTTCCATTTAAACACATATATATCTTTTCCAAATTTCTCATTGTTTCTCCCTTCACTTTTATTCAATTATATTTCTTTCTATCAAGGTTTTGTTAATTCTCAATCAAGCATAAACACACAAAATACAAAACATAAAACAAGACATAAAAAGATAAAACCTCCTTAATTATCATTTATATACATGTCTTTTCCAAATTTCTCTCCCTTTGGTTTTATTCTTCCAAGGTTTTATTAATTCACAATCAAAACATAGTTAACCAAAACAAAAAACATAAAACTTCTTTTGAAAAGTGGCTTAGCCCCGGGTTACATCTTTTTTTACAGACCCAAATCAAGTTCATGCTCACCTTATATACCATTCATATCTTATTAACCATTCTATATTTTCTATATAACTTCTCCCTTCTTTTCACTCTCTTAATTATATTTTATTTATTTCATCTTATTTCAAAATCATTATGTTTGTATCTTTTGTCCGTTCTTTTCCAATCATCTATTTATCTCTTCTCTTTAGCAAAGAATTTCCCCTGTAATCACTTTTAAGGTATGACACCTTTCCCTAAAGTTACATTTAAAATAATACATAATTTCTATCCTGATTCTGCTTAGTACATTCTACATATTGTATTTTGAAAAAAAAGAATAATAAACTTATAATATAGTTAAGTATATAATTTCCATTCTAATTCTAATTAATAGTATAACTAAGCATTAATCATTTTACACATTCTCTTTGATATTTTATTAAATATTGAAATCTATCATTATAAAACATTTTAATATTTTAATATTTTGTTAAATCTTATAATATTCCAATAGACTATTTCAAATGCAAATACTACAATACTATCTTATGTACTCTTGCAGAATCTTTCTTAAATTATACACTGTCCTTTATCCTTTATCTCTAAAAAAGATATCTTGTTTCAGACCGTGGCTTTTTTTCCCTTTTTCCTTCCCTTTCTTCTCCAGTCTGTTCCCCCCCCCCCCCGCTCTCCTAACCTCCACCTTTTTAGCTTCCCCTCTCTGTTGTAATTCTCTTTTCAATTGCTTTGTAACATTATACCTTTTTTTCACCTTATTTTTCTTTTTCTTGGTTGTTTTATTGAATCTTAAATTCTCATTTTTCCTTCCTCTCTTCCTATTTTCTTTCTTAATCGAACTTTTTTGTCCATTAAAAATGGCTTCCTTTTCTTCTTCTTCTCCTTCTCCTTCTTCCTCAAGTATTTGCTGGTACATAGAAACTGCCATTTCTAAAAAGTGGAAGACAGCTCCCAATGAATTCTTGCCATTTTGTTCTCTTTCTTTTAATTTTTCATATTCCATTTTTAGTTGATCCACAGATGGTGC